TGAGACTTGAATATTTTCTCATTGATTAGCTAAGTCTTTTGTATATTTACTGTAAGTATATGCGTTGTTCCCTCACGCCCCCATTTCCAAAAGGATAAGTTCTAAACTTGAGCATTTAAGGCTTTTTTTTTTTTTTTTTTTTTTTTGAAGCGGATCCTGCTCTGTCACCCAGGCTAGAGTGCAATGTTGCGTCTCAGCTCACTGCAACTTCCGCCCTCGCTGTCCCTGGGTTCAAGTGATTCTCCTGCCTCAGCCTCCCGAGTAGCTGGGATTACAGGTGCCCACCACTCCACTGGGCTAATTTGTGTATTTTTAGTAGAGACGAGGTTTCACCATATTAGTCAGGCTGGTCTCAAACTCCTGACCTCAAGTGATCTGCCCGCCTTGGCCTCCCAAAGTGTTGGGATTATAGGCATGAGCCACCACACCTGGTCCTTAAGGCCCTTTTTAATCAAAAACAATTTAACTGTGCATCCAGCCACACTAAGCCCTCCCTGACCCTTGAACACTGCTTGCTTTTGGTCTCACCTCTGTGCCTTTGGTCTTATGGCTGCCCCTTCCTGAAATTCCCTCTCCACCCTTCTCTCCCATCCACATCCCAGCTGTCCTACAGTAGCTCCAGCCCCAGTTTGTCTGCAAAGCCTTCCCATGTTTCAGTCCTTTATGACATTCTTCCTCGGAATTAGCTGCAACCCCTATCAATGCCGCTCATTTAGTAATTAATCAGATACTACTTTTGGAAATCTCTTGTACTGTTATCTTGCATTTTAATTTAACTCCTGTATTGTTACTTACTTTTCTTGTATGTATGCCTTGTCTTCCCAACTAGATTGTAAGCTCCTTGAGGGCAGGGACTTTGGTCTTATCTTCCATGTACTCTCCATAGTGCCTAGCACAGTGCCTTGCAATAAATACTCACTGATTAATTGAATGAAGGGGTCTTTGAAGTAGCATTTTGCATCAGTTGCCTGCCTGTGTGCCATAGCAAACCAACCAGGGAAGACTGTGTCATTACTTTCATGATACGCTGAAAAGCATTAAAAGGCCTGGCTTCTAACATTGTGCCTGGAAGAAGTATTTGACCAATCGGCTTCATCATCGGGTAAATGAGGTCCTGGATTAGTTGAATCTAACTGAGCTGAAGATGTTTTAGAAAGTGCCCCATAAGCACCTCCATCCAAGCTTGTCTCATTTTTTGGCTTTCATGGTTGCCTCAGGTAGGGTCCACTGGTTGTAAGCAAAGAAACAACTCTGGGTAACTTGAGCAAACAAAAAGTAAGGAATTAGAATGACACAGGTTAGATCACATGAGCCAAGGAGACACTGAAGGACCAAGTCTTGAGGAGAATAAGAACCAGGCCACTCTGCAGGTGCAGACAGTGGGGACTTTGGAAAGTCTTTTTGGGGTGCTATTGTGGGGATGAATCAGCTTTGTTTCCAATTTTGATGCCATTATGCTAAATATTCAGATTCCTGGGAAAGTGATCAGTTCCATTTGAGTTGCACAGCCAGAGTACCTTGATCAGACTAAGCCTGTACTCATAGGGGAGGGATAGTTAAAGGAAAATTAAGTTACTGTTTTCCAAAGGTAAGAGAAGAAATGCTAGGTTGGTATAAGTAACAGATTTTCCATGCTTAACCAGCCAAGGGGACTTTCTTTGGCCCTTAGCCCGAGTAATACACTCGAGTGGAATGAATATATTACTGCTTGAGATTTTTTTCTCAAGGAGGAGCACTAGGAAAATTTGCTTTGCTTGTTTAACCTTTCCAAGTGCCTACTCTTACCCTCTTTCTTGTGTGTGGAATCCACTTGTGATTTAACTGTATGAAAAGAAATTCTATTCTGCCAGATATTTGGATTCTCTCAGTGTACCTACTTTCTGTGGAGCCCACACATGCTACATACAAAGCAGCACCTTTCCATGGGCACAGAAGACATGGATGATAAGCTTCATTTCTCAGGTAAACTCTTAATTCTTCCAGCCTGTGAGGTGGGAGGTACATAGGCTTTGATATTAAGATAAAATGATTGTGTTATTCCCAACATCAAGATTGTGGTTGTTTATATCCAAGAGGCAATGTTAAATCCTGATTAACCTTTTCCCAGTCTCTTCCACCACCTTGCCTCACTACGAATATGACAAAGAATGTTGTTATAAAAAGTATACAAATAGCACATAATTAGCAACAAAAATGTCATGCAGTTTTTAAAGCAATCTAATGTAATCAACCAACAGGTGATTTTTGTTCACTACATTGGATTATCGATGCTACTGTTCTCCTCCATTAACACTTATAATCAAGAAGTGACTGTTATTTTCCTGTTGTTATAATTAGCAAAATGTTCTGGCTAAAAACGTTATGTGGCCAACCATAGTGATTTGAAAGGCAAGCCTTTAAAATCAAGGACTTATTATCAATCTGTGGACATACCCCAGATTTTTCCATTACAAAATGCCAGACGCTGAGGCCTTACAAAGGCAACCTAATACAGAGACTTAAGAATGTGGATCCTGGAGTTTGACTGCCTGGGGTGCATTGTAACGATTTGCTACTTATTAGGGAGGATAAAGTTTGTAAAACTCTAAATGCCTGGCTCTCCAAACAGTGATGATTTTATCATCCGTTATTGTTCCTCTTCTCAAGGGACTTTACCAGAACCCCAGATGTAGGATGTGGATGCTTCTCGTCACCAAAATGAGTAGAACTCAGCTGGCATATTCATTATCACCTTTTATTTAAACATGATCATTTCTTAATATAAATTTTAATATTCGATAATTTTAATCATACAATCAACTAATTCAAACTTAGGCATTAGGGTTCCCATTCAGATGCCAGGTTTTGCATAAAGCTTCCCTCAGCTTCCCCATCTGGAACTGACCTCACATTTCTCCGACCTCCAGGGGATGGGGTCAGTACCCATTCATGTCAGTCATCCCTTTGAAACTTGTATTTAAATCATTTTTGTTGGTGTCTTCCCACTTATAGTAGACACAGAGCACCTCAGCGTTGGCATCTGGTATGATTCCCCATTGTGCTCCCGGGCACCAGGCCTGTGTTGCCCCCATCTCAGACCTAGAGGGAGAAGAATATCTGGCCCCATTTCCTGTGACTTCCTCAGGCCCCCTGCCAGAGTGTGATTACTAAATGCAAGTCAGGCTGCCCATTCTGCAGAGGCCTCTTTCATGGCCCTTTTAAATGGGCCATGCAGATTAAATGTTCCAGCTCTGCAACTCAACTGTAAACTACAATACTCAACAGAGATCGCAGTTTAAATGAAATTGGCCTCTATCCTTTATCACCAGCAGTTATGGACTGTGGTAGATTAGCAGAGCTCTAATGATATAGATCACATAGAGAGAAAGCTTTTTTTAAAAAAGGTCAACCATATGATCGATCTGATTCAGTCTCGAAATTGGAAGGCTGAGCTACTTAAATATAGATGCAATTACATGTGATATCGCCATTCTCTGTAAACTGGATTTTTGCCACATATCCTTATTTATTGTTATGAATAACACAGACTATATCAGGAAATATATATGTCTTAGGACTTTAACAAATAGTCATATCTTTAATTTGTTTTTCTAGTTTTCAAAGGGCTTTTCACACTAATAGGGAGGAAGACACAGGTTTTTATTCCTTTTTTATTTACAAAATGGGAGCAAAGAGGTTATATAGAAGCCCAAAGTAACATAGACAATTAGAAAGTCAGGGCTGGGCATGGTGGCTCACACCTATAATCTCAGCACTTTGGGAGGCCGAGGTGGGGGGATCACAAGGTCAAGAGTTCGAGACCAGCCTGGCCAACATGGTGAAACCCAGTTTCTACTAAAAATACAAAAATTAGTGGGGTATGGTGGTGCATGCTTATAGCCCCAGTTACTCGGGAGGCTGAGGCAGGAAGATTACTTGAACTCAGGAGGTAGAGGTTGTAGTGAGCTGAGATTGCCCCACTGCACTCTAGCCTGGGCAACAGAGCAAGACTCTGTCTCAAAAAAAAAAAAAAAAAGAATTTAGAACTTAAACTCGTAAGTTAATGCATTTCATACACCTAGAAATAAGTACTTAGAGAAAGGACAGGGTGGAGTAAGGAACTAGACTTTGAAGTTCAACTAGAGAACGTTATAGGACAAATAGATAGGCCAGAGGAAATGGTGAGGTAGAAGGGTGAGATGTCTGAGGTTCAGATGCTGGAGGTGGAGAAGTTCTGAGGTTCGAGTGCTGGCCAGGCCCAGGGCACAGCCATCTGGAGGAATGGGATAGGATAGGTCCCTGAGAGGGTTTTAGTTATTCAGCAAGGGACTATTGGCAGCCCTCTCTGTACCAGGCACTATTCTGGGCACAGAAGAATGATGTGGCATTCAGATGTGTGTGAGGTAGCCAAGGCATCAGTAACAGTATTTTGTCACAATACAGAGAAATGCAATGATAATAATAATAGTAAACAGTGATT